GTTTCAGTTTTCTTGCTGGAGGGTGACACCTTACTGTCCCTTGAGGGTCCATGACACATGTTGTCACTTCTGGTCATCTGAGTGTATGTGTCCCTTCCACGGTCTGGGGCAAGCCTTGTATAGGTGGCCTTCTTCCCCACACAGGTTGCAACCCTTGGACACCTTTCAGTCCTTATTCAGGTGCCCCTCCTGCTTGCAGTTCCTGCAGTCGGTTATTTTTGCAGTCCACTGCCATGTACCCGAACCTCCTGCAGCTTTGGCACACTCCAAGTTGCTCCATGTATGTCAGGGAGCCTCAGATCCCACCAATTGCGAACCTGGCGGGCGGCTGGATGATATTCCCACTGGTGTCCACCTTCACTGTCACCTTGACCTGCCGCTTGCTGATCCAGATTCCAAAGGGTTCCACTATGTCAGTGCTACTTCCTTCAAGCTGTACATACCTTCCGAGGAAGGTCAGGTCATCTGCTGCCTGGAGGTGGGAGTTGTACGTATGGATTGTAACAACCCGGCTCCTCTGTGCAGGGAGAACAAACAATGGTGCCACTGAGAGCATGCAGACAGGACCTTCACCTCCTTTCTCCTCAATTCAGGATACGCTCACATTGCCTCACCCTCCTGAAAGTCATGTCAAAGTACCCTCCTCTGGGGAAATCTTGCAGACAGAAAATATCGGCTACTTGAATCCTGCAGCAATCGAGGAGGACCCTCCTCACGAAGAAGGTCCGTTCGATCGGTGATCCTCACTCCACTTTCTTCACAGTCGCCCTGACCATATTGAGGACCCCTGGCCTGGGGCGTGAACGCTAGCAGAGGCTGTCGCTCTGATCCCTGAATTGGTGTTAGGCCTTAGCCGGCATAAAGATCGCCAACTGCAGCTCAGCTCAACCGACGATCCTCCAAATTCAGCTTGGAATCACGAGCAAGCGATGATCTCAAGATCTTCTGATGATGATGAAGACACTGCTCCCAGACTGCTTCACTGTGATACTGACCAATAGCATCTCAGCTCAACTGACGATCCTCCAACGTCCAATCACAATCCAGCGATGATTTTAAAATCCTCTCATATCATGCAACTCGGAACTTACACTTGATCACCAGTTGAAATGGGCACAATGTGTGCATGTTTTTCCGTCTGCAAAGAACTGGACCCTATGTGTTGATACATGTAAAAAAATGCATATGTAGCTTCCAGTACATGCAAATATATTTCATACAGTGAGGCTAACTGATACGTATCAATTGGTTGCCACTGTAACATTTAATACACTCATTTTGCAAATGTTGTCTTATTGAAGAATCATATCTAATTTTGAACCCTTTCTTTTGAGATTGCTTGAACACAGCGACTCCCGTGTTGCAAGCAGATGAATAGATACAATGTGAGATAGTAGGAACTGCAGATGCTGGAGAATCCGAGACAACAACGTGCAGAGCTGGATGAACACAGCAGGCCAAGCAGCAT